AAGAAATTAAATAATGCAGAATCTGCATGAATGTATGTATGTATGTTTCTCGCATTGTGATAAAACAACGGTACCTAAAGCCATCCAATTTTTAATAACGTAATCTTTCACCAAATATGAGCATCTGATAGCCGTAATTTGAAATTTATTATCGATTTCATATTTTGTAAAACTTTAACGAATTTTTTTATTAACAAATTCAACAATTTCAAAGCGAGTAATGGCAACGTTGTATAAGGTATTTCTTCTGCTTTCCTAGCGTGCCTTCGTGGTGTAGTGGTTCTGCACACTGGGTTAGTATTCCAGAGGTTCATGGTTCGATTCCCGGTGAAGGCGTTGCTAATTTTTCATCTTGCCTGCTTCTAAAAAAGAAAAAAAAATCCTAATGTCTCTACAGCTGTACAGAAAAAACATTTTTATCTTCAGCGCGCGAGAGACTGTGTATCGGAAATTCTAAAGATAGGCTCAATTTAAAATTAGTATGCGACATTGCTGTTGAATTCGACTTTATGGTTAAGTGCGAAACACGTGACATTTAATAAATAAAGATAACACACAAAACGTTAAAAAAACGCCCCTTTGGACGTCATTTAAAATATGAAAACTTTCAGATTTTATTTGTTTATTATTTATTTATTATCGAGTGTCTTTTATTGAACTGTTGATTTAAATACTATCAAAAGTAATTACAGTAAGTAGAATTCATGTGTTTTTAGGAAGCTGTCAAAGTTAATCTATGCCGCCCAAACGGGATGGTGGTTAGTAGCTCTGATTACGTACCGAAGGGCTCGGGTTCGAATCCTAAAGGATATTTGCAAACTTACAGTATCTGTGAGGCATGGGGGCACTCTAAATATGCGGCGAGCCGAAAATCCTGTCGGGAGGTTGATTGTAGGGAAAGAGGGGAGGGAAACCTTCTGACACGTCTCCTCAGGATGCTCTCCATCAAAATGGGTGGGGGGGTCTAAATTGTCACCTGTATAGTGCTCAAGGCTCTTGCCAACGGCAGGCACTGTCTTGCACTCCTTGCCAGGATGAATTTCCTGCGCTAGTTCTGATCTTGCTGTCAGACAAGTGAGATGAGTGGCGACGACAAGAGCAACAAGTTAATCTATTAAATGACTGTGTATGACATGTAAATTGCCCTAAAATTTTCAGCATATATATTATACATGAATATTAATGGGAAAGTATTTGCCTACTGTATATAGGTTTCCTGTTCTTTATTTACTGTGCGAGTCACTGCGTAGCTACAGCAAATGCCTTTTTTTTTTCCTTCCCTAAAAAGTGCTAAACAGGGTCAACTAGAATACTTATTAATATTAGCATTACAGTATATGATGGATATTACGCCGATATCTGACGGTAAATGAGTCCGCTGAGCAACGTGTCCAGCTCAGTTACCTTGTAAAGCCCCAGGGGCACCTCACATGAATGAGTCTTGACCGCATTTTCCAAGATGGGCATAAGAGGAAAGAAAGAGAAAAGGAACGGTCAAAAGACTCGGGTTTCGAAAGAATGAATACATCAGCAGTAGATAAGGCGACAATGAACTGGAACGTAAATAATAGAAGTAAAGTGAAATCACGTATTTGAAAATTTATATGTGAATGAGGAAATTATGCGAATATTTAAAAAATTTTCAGAACCTAACGTTAAAAAGCTGGGCAGGATACATGAGGAAATACTGTATACACCAGAAATTAATAATTACACAAATAATTAGTAGCTGATAAAGTATGTAGACATTGGTCAATCTGGTTCTTTTCTCATTCATTTTTTAACGGTTGAAAAGAAAAAAAAAGCTTGTTCACTTATAAATAAATATATACCCAAATAAAGTGATTATCCTTAATGCAAAAATTCATAACTGAGTGTATTTATTTTTTGATAAATACGCGTATAAGCTAATCGAATCTGTATCTTAAATTCTATTAATAAATTTTATATCACATAGTAAATATAATTAGCTCAATTTATAAATTTTCATGTTCGTTTTTAACTGAAATGAAAATAATACAAATTCGAATTTAAAAATCTTGAAATCCTTACATTATCACAGTAAAATGCATTCGCCGCGGGACAAAATTCCTTCTGGGGCGAATGCGGCCCGCAGGTTTGAGACCACTGACTTAGAAAACAACGATTTTCTCCTGATCCATTAATGGAAATTTATAAAACGGCATTCTGGCTTAAACGCAGCCACGCCAAAATAACAACCCGGAAATTTAACTAGTCATAATTATTTAACGAACAAAACCAGCCGCCGTCTAATCGACTTCAACTGATTCGGCACATTTAACTGCAAAGTCGAGATGACTCTTGAGCGCAGCATCGTCGCAGGTCGTAGAGCAACAAACAGCTCGTCGAACTCACCAACTGCTCTCCATGGCGAATGAGCTCTCACGAATTGGCGCGAAAATTCGCCATATCGCCACTTTTATCACTTTCGTTGATTACAGAAAGAAGAGCAACAAGAAATTCTATTGCCCATAGTTATACGATGGTGAGTTTTAACAAAATCTTAAGATATGTGTATATTAGATAAACTAAAAGATGTGATAAATGATAAGAAATATCATTTTAAGATGCTTGTTGAGGAAGAAATTTTCTTTTTTTAATAAGATGGCTATTCTGAAGGAATATGCGTCGAATTCTAAAATAGTATAACAGTAAACATCTTAATACTGAATACAAAAATGGTTAATATTCAAGATATTTTTAAAACACACTAATAATAATAAAAAAATAAATAATAGTAAACTTTTTTTTCCTGCATGTGGCGTCTGCTCAAATACGATCATCGAATTTCATACATAGTTTTCATAGCAGAACATTTTATTTCTCTATGATGAGTGTTAGACATTACGTTTAAAATATTATAAAGTAACTATAAATAATTTAGTGGAGAAAACAAATCATAATAAAAGTTTAAAGACGCACCAGATTTGAAGGTATCTCTAAAATTGAAGCGAAGAAAAAATGTTTTTCCATTGGATTGTAAAGTTAGAACATAAAAAAAATTCCACAAAATTTTAAATATTACGATTTTTCCCCCGCGGAATACAACGGTGGTAAAAGATCTAACTAAAGTTTGTTCATAAGTTTTCCTGTACTAAAAACAAAAATAGAGTCCACATTAAAAATAATCAAACAAAATTCGAATCATTATACGCTAGAGTGTTTTCATTACATACAGAAATAATGCGCTCGAAATAAAGAATACTTGTGGTAGTTTCTAAATAAATTTAAAAAATGATGAAACTGTTTTACAATTTTTTTAAATTTTCAATCGGCAGAAGACCCTTTAAAAGCACTGATAGAGAATGAAAACTAACACTGGACGAAATGTGAAAACTCTTGAACAATCAGTTCCCGATTTAGTGAAGGCGGATAAAGTGGGTTTCGGATTAACCGGACTCTTTAAAAAAAGGTTTTAATTTATATACTGCAAAAGCGATGAAAATATTCCTCACGAACCATCAGCATTCAAATTCTTTCGCAATTTTTGTTCTAAGAATGCCATATAACTTAGTTTCGTATGTTATTTGCGCGCTACTTTTAAAGTTTTGAATATCGGATCAATTTACGAAATTAAATGAACTTATTTTCCGGATTATACTGCTGGAAAGAACAATGAAATTGTTTTAGCAGTATTTTTTCTGTTAATTATAAACACGAGTATTTCCTTTTCCTGTACAGTACAACTCCAATTATCCGAATCGCTGATTATCCGAACCGTTTTCAGAGTTTAAGAAAAAAAAAAAAAAAAAAAACTAAGACGGAAACGTAGTGTTGGACAATCAACGATTTCAGACATTAAAAGGAGCAAATGTACACTTTTAAACTTCGCGCCAACTGCTTGTAAACGAAGTTCTGCAAGAAAATCAAGGCAGCAACAGACAAAAATTTATATGGTGTCGTTTTCAAGTGGTTTTTGCAGCAAAGTTCTATGGGAAACCGAATTTCGGCTCCGATTCTTTGTGAAAAAGCTACGAGCTTAGCTAAGAAGCTTAGTTGTTCATCCTTTAAAGTAGAGCTTCTTAAATTGTGGGTCGCCAAAATTTTAGCACTTTTGATATTTCTCTAACGTATTATAATAATTTTACAATTACCAAATATTTTTACATAATGTATCTGAAAATGCATAAAGACAATACAGACATAGAAAAAAAACGAAAACGTTTCGGCACATTTTTTTTTAATAATATAAGCGTTCATTTCACTTGCTTTTGCACGTGACGCTGTCATTTCGCCTGTTACTTATTTTAAATTTTCACATTGTTCCCTGTCTTAAAATAAAAAGTTAATGTTAATGACACAAAAGTGAAATAGTATGTTGAATGGTATGTGTGAAAAAATTGACAGTTTCACTCACTCGTGTGTCGGATTTGCTCAATGCTTATGGGGGTCCTGGGGTTGCGAAAAAAAATCTCCGTTATAAAAAGGGATCGCAACTGAAAAATGTTTAAGAAGCCCTGCCTTTGAGCAAGTAACGGGTGGCTAAGAAAGGCACGGTGCACGTCAAGCAGCTTACTTTGACCGAGATGCAAGCAAAGACTTTCAGCTCTTGTAAGTACTGTACAGTACGCTACATAACATGTATACAAAAGTGTTGCTATTTCATTTTAATCAATTAAAACCTTTTTTTTTTTCTTTGAAAATAGTTTTTTCTCCCATTTTTAACATACAGTAATTAATTAAAGTATGCGTAGACCCTTTCTTCCGAAAAAAAAAATCCAGTTATACGAATTGTTGATTATCCGAATAGGCTCCGGTCCCAGTTGATTCGGATAATTGGAGTTCTAGTGTATTTTTAAACCGAGATTTTGAATTCAGAAAAGGAACGTAAAAAGGTATTTCGGCTCAATTTCAAATTCGGGACAATTTCAGTTTCGGATTAGCGTGATGCAAAGTTTGTTGTTCCATCTTCGAAAGAGGATTTCGGCGGGACGTTTTCGGCAAGTGCGGTGGCATACCGGGAGAGGAGAGGCGCTTACCTTGAGATGTCGGGAGCAGGATAGCGGTGGCGGCAGCAACTGCGAGAAACATCAGGTGATGGCCCGCCGTAGGCGATGGACCGACCATGGTCTTCTATGAGCATACAAGGACAACTTCTCGCACACTTTCGACTGCTTTCTCTTCTGTCTTCTCTCCTCTGCCGGCTCCATACCTAAACACTGGGTTGCCACACCAAAAAGGAGCTCCCGTCGCCAACTTTCTCTCGCACTCCGCCGATCATGCTAATGAGCAGGACACAAACGGAGTCGAAGAACTCTGCAACTTCTGGTCATCTAAAAACAGGACCTTGAAATGGGGATGATAATAATAATGCAGTTTATTTTTTTGTCACTCTTTAAACTCGACAGTCATATATTTCACCTCGGAAGGGGAGAATATTTTCCTGTTATTATCATCGAGATTTTATTAATTGCCATTTTGCGTCGAATTATTACAAATGCGTCGTTTCACTTTTCATTCGAATCTGTTGCAATTCGGTAAAATGCAGCTCTCAAACTTTTGCGAATTAATAAACTAAGCTACTTCAAAGCCACAGATGCAGTTTTTTAGAAGGCTTAATTTTCCCACTTTTGAATCGGATTGATTTAAAAAATAAAAATGCATTTACTTCGTGATCTGTATAATTAAAAAGATTCAGCATTTTCAGAAAACGAAGTTCTATATTTTTATTGTTCATTTCATGTTTTGTGAAACGTTAATGAATATTTGATTAATAAAGAGTTTGAAAGCGAGCAGTGGCAACACTGTACGGAATAAAAAAAATTTTATACCCAGCCCTCGATACTGTCTACCAGAAATTCCAAGGATACGTTGTTTTCAAATATTTTGTGATTTTGCTGTAGAATTGAATTTTATGTGGCATTCAGTGCGAACAACGTCATAGTTAATAAATAATAAAGTTAACACACAAAAATAATAAAATAATAAAAAGACCTAAAAAAAGGAGTTTTGTAAGCTATCTTACTAAGAAACCTGAATATTGATATGATAAACTTTTAGAGTCATTGGGCTTTTTTGATGCTGGAGACTTGAATAATGAGCAGTGCCCTCACCGGGACTCTTCTCCGGACCTCCCGAATACGCGGCAAGTGTGCTTCCAGTTACACCGCGAAGGCATGTGGAAAGGAAGAAGAAAAGACTTTATAAACTAAGAAAACATTGAAAAAAATGGAAAAATGTTTATGCGAACACTTAACACTGCATCAGGAATTCTAAACAAATGCTGCTATGCTGATTTAGAAAATTTTGCGATTCCGCTGTTGAATCGTATATCGCGTAAGTGCGAAGAAAATGGTGCTTAATAATAAAGCTAGCAGGTGTGAGTACAACAGCAGATTTATAAACTACGAGCTCAGCGGGAGCCAAAAAAGCCTTAACAAACCCTTTTGAGCGATTGTTAAAACATAAAACCTTTCAAATTCCTTTTTGTTTTTAGCCCAAAAGGGCGTTATACCCAAAGGGCTATTAGTCTTAAAACGACATTCTGCGTCGTTTCGCTTTCTGCGTTGGTTCACTTTTCAAACTGTTGCCACCAAATATTATCGTCATGATGTATTATATTTAAAGAAACTAAATAATGAAGAATTTGCATGAATTTTCGCACTGTGAAAAAAATAACGATACCTAGAGACATCAAACTCTGCAGCATTTATTCGAAAATCGAATAGTGACAGTAAGGTTTCTTGTTCCTTTCCTTTTCAAGGCTGAACCGGAATTCATCTTCCCGCACTTTATTCAAATGAAGTAAAAACTAGACTCTTCTCAATAATAAAATCTATCTTTGATTATATATTTAAATTTTTATTTAAAGAATAAATATATAACTGATGCGTCTTAAACAAAATTCCGAGTACAATTCTTGTATGACGATCCTGAGGACATTCTTCTGAAGTTGCCATTCCGGCAAAGCGTAACTCTGTTTCTTTACTTGTGGCTTGCGATCGAATTTTCTTTCATCATCTGAGAAAGGTGATTTTAATTTTATTATTCAAATAACTGTGTAGTGACGATAATATTTTGTAGAGATATATTCAGCTTTCAATTCTCTTTATGGTTTCTATTTTTTATTCTATTGAAACCTTAATTAGAATTTGATATTATGATTTTTATGTTGATAAGAATTTAGGTTAAAAAAGGAGATAAAGAGAAACAAAGGCCAAAGGTTTTAAAAACTAAAATTCTTTCTCAGCTGAATTTTATTTTTACTTAACACTAAATATTGAATTAAAAATCTGATATGGACCCCATATGACTTCCTTGTATGGTATATTAAATAACACACATTTTTACTGCATTTCATTTAAACTAATTTCCTCGAATCTCGTCAAAGATGTATTTCTCATCCAATTAATTCAGTACTCACTTCGCAGTCAAGCAAAAATACATAAACACTTATTGTAAAAGACAGAAAAACATAAAACACAAAATACAGTTAAAACAGTTTAAATTCTTTTTTTACAATTAACATTAGAGTTTCTAAGCAAAAACAAGCAATTCGCCCAGCGGCAAGAAGGCACATTTTTCGGTGCACAAAACTGAAAGTTTACTTGTGGTCCCACTCGGCAAAAAGGCACTGCAAAAACTGACTACATTCACTATTATACCGAGTTTCAAATGTAAACAATTGGCTGTTCGTTAGGCTTAATCGTATATCGCGTAATTCTACAACTATTGTTCATAATTCTACAACTATTGCATGCAGCTTAACTAAAGGCATAAAGCGATGTCAAATGAATGCAGCTCAGAAGTCGTCGAGCTGGTTAGCGTATGGATAAAGGCAAGATTGGGCGAACACTGGTAATTTGAATCTGATAAGTAAGACATAAATTCTATGAACATAAGACTAAAAAGAATGCAAAGCAGATACAATAAGAGAAAATTAAGATAAACCGTAAAGGCATTATAATAAATATTACATAATAAATACATTCAATTGGGCCATGAGCCTGTCCATATTTGCTAGGTCATTGTAGTTATAATTGCAAATTTTAATGGCCGGGTTGTTAATTGTTTTTTGTCTTTCATAAAAAGGCTTTAGCAAGTTTATAATAATACTACCTGGTATCCGCCCGCTTTGCTGGACACACTATCTATTTGAATGTGAATCTGTTAATCTAGACTTCTTATATGGACGAAATGTCTAATTTCGAATTGATAATTAATGTAAATTTTTTTAATTTAAAATCGGGAAATATAGTGCCAATTAGTGAATCTGACCTGCACATATTTCCACATCACCCATGAGGTATTGGAATGCGTTCCCATTATTTAACTGGCGGGATCCGGTAGGTCTACACCGCGAAAAATTGCCAACATAAAACTATGGTTTATATATATTTAACTGTTATCGTCAGTTTCATGAAAATAAGTGTTATTATCTTTGTTATCAATTTTTTAATCAATTATAATTATTTGGCCTTGATTTTTTATATGTATGGCAATTTTTATAAATAACAACAACGTTTTCATTTTTCATCACAATAATTTATTTCTCTTAATAATAACATTTATTTTCATGAAACTTATAATAATAGTTAAATAAATATTATTATTAACTTTCATTTAAATGTTGCTTGTATTCATTGGATAGATGCAAGTTACGAGTATTTACCAATTTGATCATTTTAAAGGAAAATGCGTTCATTGGCAACATTGTATTTCATACCTGGTTTTGGCAAAAATAAAAGAAAATTCTGAACTTGGATTAGAAAACTAAATGTATGAAAAACTTCTATTGTATAACAAAAATCTATTTTGGACAGGATTTACGTCAAATCCGTTCTTAGTGCGCGTCTACAACGTGGAATGAGTAACTATGCGAAGTTAACATGGAATGAGTAACTATGCGAAGTTACAAGTCAATCGGATGTATAGTTTCGGAGTTCTGGTGATGACTCAGTGATATTTCGCTTATACAGGGTTTATCAGTACAGCGTTGACAAAGTTTCAGAAGAGACTGAGTACACCTAGAGGATGGGAAATCACATAGCAATGCACGGTCGGAAACGCTTTCCTAACGCAGTAGTGACGACACAAAAAGAAAAAAAAGGAAGGACATAAACAGTGAGACAAAACATTTTTTATTATACTTAGTACAGCAGAAACCAACAAATAAGAACAAAAATAAACAACAATAGTTATTAAAGAAGGTATTCGAAATTATGAGCTCGGACCGTGATGCAAGCCTGACGTCTTCGCATGGAAGATCTGCATCACGAATGGAAGATGCATGACGAGCGGTTCATGCATCACAGTTCGGGTAATTTCGAACACATTCTTTGATGATGATCGTTGTCTCTTTATGCTGTTTTTTCTTTGTTTTTGTTGCACTCATAATAATAAACATGTTCTCTCCCCCCCCCGTTTGTGTCCTTTCTTTCCTGACTTTTGCGTCGTCACTACCGCGCCAAGAAAGCATTACCAACGATGCTTTCTTAATAGATTTCCCATCGTCTAAGTGTTCTCTATCTCCCCTGAAAGTTTGTCAACGCTATACTGACACACCTTGTATACAGATAGGTGAATGTAGTTGCTCCATTCCCAGTTCTTCATGAACTCTATTGTTGCAGATATACCAATCCGCTTTAACTATTTGCCTAAGAACAAAATTTTGGCAAGTCTGTGGCTTTTTTCTATTATATTTTTTGGTATAGGCCCAAACTGGACTAACATAACAGAGTAGAGAACGGAGAACGGACTTATAAATGTGTAACTTGTTGTGAATTGATAAAACACTGTTTCGAGCAATTAAGGGGCATAGTTTAGCTTTACGAACTCGAAGCTTTTGGATAATAGATGTAATGTGTGGCAGCTGTGTAAGAGTTTTGTTGAGGATCACCAGTTAAAAAACTGTTAGCGCAGTAACAGATACCTATCTGTTAACATCCATTTTAATCACTAGATCTCTAACTGTTCTTTCTTACCAACTCAGATCACTATGACCAACGATGTCTGACAATTCAAACCATCCAAGACGCTGCAAAATGACAACTCCGACAGGTACTGAAAGAGGCATTCTCCCGATGCTTCAGGAGATGGCAGGAAAGCTGAGGCAGGCGTTCGTGTTCAGGTGGATGTTGTTTCGAAAGTGGCAAGGTAAAAATTTTTTGTATCTCAAATAAAATTGTTTTCCAAGCATTTTCTGCTTCCCTTGCGAACATAGAATATGCCACAGAAGTTTGT